TGCTGATAGACATACAGTTAACTGTAAAATAAACCCTGTCATGCTTTTTTTGGGTCAGCCAGATGAGATAATAGGGGCTGTAAAAATGAGAAGATCGTATTTAATGCTTGTGGTATATAAAAAACTGAAGATGGAATCTGTAAACATTATCTCTCCATATCAGGTTACGATGTATGTTCAGTCATATACCACAGCAAGTACATAGATAGTACATAGTTGAATTTACTCTACTGGTGTCATAACCGCTTGGAGACTCTGTAATTGATGTGTTGAGTTATCTTGAAATGTCTCCAGCCTAGTAACTTTAATCTTCTGTCTCAACGCTGGTATGTAGGTTATTCCCTGCCAAGTTTTATTTTGATTCCTATGCCATTCGGAAGTCAACGATCATGCCTGCTACAGGTACCATTTTTGTTCTATACCGGCAGTCATGTTCCCGGCCGAGGCAAGTAGTATTTGATTGTCATAGTTTATGGCATTGCTCACTTGTTTTTATGTCAAATGTTGAAAAAGTTTTATCTATTTTTAGAAATTCACTTTTATCCATCATGGCGGATACATTCAGTATCATTATCTCAAAACATTGTTGAGTGTACCTACTCGATTGTGGTCCTTCCGCGCTGTTGTGTTGTATTTATAACTGTTTTGACGATGGCTTTGCTCAAATTATAGTTTTAAATGAAGCGTTAGGTCTTAGGCCTATGTAGTGATGGCTGAGTGAAGCCTCCCTAATCATTGTTGATATAACATTAAGCTCTGTCAAATCATATATAGGTGTGTTATCTTTGTTTTTGCATCAGTTTCTACAATGAAGAAGTTTTTGTATATGTGTCTTGAAAATTTACTTTGTTATGTTGGCTGGGTTTTTGTTGATATGAATCCTAATTTTGTTATAAATTTAAAAAAAAGTATTACATTTATTTTAACATGTTTCCAGTGTAGTTATCTTTCCTATTACTGATACATTCAATGAGACATTCTCTCCCATAATGCATTGCACATATGCTCACACATAATGCATAATGCGCCGTGCGCTGGTTCCTGGTGTCCATTGCGAATGACAATTAGGACACAGGTTATTAGTAAGCGCCGTATTGTTCAACTGGGCTGGGATTCCGGCCTAAAGCTGACTGAGTGACTGAGTGATTTGAAAACACTCCAAGTTCCGCTCCGTTCCGTTCCGTTCCGCTCCGCTCCGCTCCGTTCCGTTTCGCTCCGTTCCGTTCTGTACTACATTAACACTGCATCTATTCATTCCGCCTGTTTAGACTTCATACTTGAGGTGGTTCTAACATTTCTTGCTATTTTTGTGCAGAATGATAACAACAACAAAAACAGTTTTAAATTCATGCAACTTTTGCACTGCATTGCACATATGCTCAGTAGATGTAAAACTTTGAATTTCTTTCCCATAATGCATTGCACATATGCTCAGTAGATGTAAAACTTTCAATTTCTTTCCCATAATGCATTGCACATATGCTCATTAGATGCAAAACTTTGAATTTCTTTCCCATAATGCATTGCACATATGCTCATTAGATGCAAAACTTTGAATTTCTTTCCCATGATGCATTGCACATATGCTCAGTAACTTACTCAGTAAATCCACCGCTTGAATGTCTCTCCCATAATGCATTGCACATATGCTCAGTAGAATCACCACTTGAATTTCTCTCCCATGATGCATTGCACATATGCTCAGTAGATGCAAAACTTTGAATTTCTTTCCCATAATGCATTGCACATATGCTCAGTAGATGCAAAATTTTGAATTTCTTTTCCATAACGCATTGCACATATGCTCAGTAACTTACTCAGTAGATCCACCACTTGAATTTCTCTCCCATGATGCATTGCACATATGCTCAGTAGATGCACAACTTTGAATTTCTTTCCCATAACGCATTGCACATATGCTCAGTAACTTACTCAGTAAATCCACCGCTTGAATGTCTCTCCCATAATGCATTGCATACCGCCGGTATATGCTCAGTAGAATCACCACTTGAATTTCTCTCCCATGATGCATTGCACATATGCTAAGTAACTTACTCAGTAAATCCACTGCTTGAATGTCTCTCCCATAATGCATTGCACATATGCTTGGTAACTTGCCCAGTATATCCAAAACTTTAATTTCTTTCCCATAATGCATTGCACGTATGTTTAAAAACATGCACAGTAGATGCAAATTTTGCAGTTGGTTAAAACTGAATCTGGAAATCTGGTTTTTAAATGTTCTGATGTGTTGAGTTGCTGTGATTAAATTTATAAATAATTGATGTTCGATTGTTTACCTCTTGTTAAATATTTTTTTTTTATGAGCTAGTTGGGAGCCAACAGTCTTCCTTCAATGAGAATTGTAAATAAACAAACACACTTGAGGTATTTAATTTCTGCATAAACTGTTTAATTTATCTCTTGGGAGTCACTTATTCCTGGCAGGTCATGAATCTTATAGCTGGGATTGCCTTTTAAAAATGACCTGGAGCTGAGAATGGCTCCTCCTGATCACAGTAACACAAATGATTAGGAGAACTGTGCTAATATTATATAATATTCCTTCAAAATGTTGTAAATTGCATGATATTAGCTCTTTCAAGGTTTGACTAGTGCAAGTGATAGGCGAGTGGAGGTAAGGTCTGCTATAGTTAGTGTGGGCTGTATTTTTTTTGTAAAATGTTTTCTTATTGTTTAAATCATGGGATACTGAGCTAAAATGAACTCACATGGAATAAAATGTTTATAATACGCATATATGCGACAACTGGTAAATTACGGATTTTTGGTGAATCAAAAATTAGTTTTCCAGCTATTTGGATTATCATCTAAATTTTATGCCATCTTATAGGGCATATCACTGTGTTTACTCAATACAATAGTAATTTTATTTTATTATTATTAAAACTGAGCTTTGTGCTCCTTAAGTGAACTCAAAGTGCCAGAGTATGAAAGTGCTATTTAATAAGAATTAGTTCAGTTCAGTTTAGTAAAATAAGTTGTTATTTATGATGCATCAGAATGTGAATCCTACTGCAATGAAGTTGATCGATTACTGAAAAAAACTTGTGTTAAACAGTCTTATTTTATTCTGATTTACAAGTGCGTCTTATAAAGAGAATCAATACAAAGTCCAGAGTGTTCTACGGTATTTTCTTCACGACAAATTTCAGTCAAGTCTGTTGAAAATTGCGCAAGTCTTACCATGATTGAGATTAATCTGATTGATTGGCGCTGACACGCTCAATATTACGCTGTTCCTTTGCACAAAATGTGACAATCTAATCCACTTTAAATCCTGCAAGATGACAAAGGAATGATGTAAACCGTGATTTCGTGTACAAGAGTGTGAGGTCACTGTACAATCCTCACCTTCATCGTGTCCAACTTGACAAGTTTTTATCATGCCAATTACGGGAATTCGAATATTCATTTAAAACCGAACAATTCAATCAAGTTGAATCTGTGTGCGGTTGCAGGGATTGCGAGGAAATCGTGCATCATTAAGGGAATCCATCATATTGTTAAATGGGTAATTGTAACGTTTGCTGAATACTGAAGACACAGCTGAGTTTCTCCGTACTTTGAAGTAGGCCATTGAAGGACGGTCTTGAATGACGCATCCATCATGCGTTCTTTTCAGACAATTCATGTTTTACTTGTTATCTGCACTTACCTTGCTATTAAAGTGATATCGCTACTTTTCCCGTCATTTGAGTTAACGGTTTCCTAATCGTGTTTTTTTCAAAAGCTTTCTGTTCACTATACTCTTTCAGTGACATCACTAAGACTCTTAAAGTATAATTCAGTCGTTTCAGTAAAATGTCTCTTCCATCAGTCATTGAAACGCAAGTCGTTTGAATTCGGGGGGGGGGGGTAAAAGTTAATTTTGTTTTGCATGCATCAAAATCGCGATAAAAACAGCGTAAAACATGGGTGAACGAAACATTGTACATGCGATACAAAAAACAAGCAATACAAAGTGGAAATAACACAAAATATGTAAAAATGCAAACTGAACTAGTACAGGGTTTGTACTTATGATGCATTAGGAAACTTTTGTTTGGGGTAGTGGGTGGAGAGTTGGCACCAGTTACTGATGACTTATGTTTTCCATGCTTCAGTTTTAATAACCGTTGGTCTCTAGGCCACTTTACTTGTTTGGTGACATCAATAAATTTCTCAGTGTAATTCATTTCATCCAAATTGTGGAATCACGGAAAGTAACACATAACTTTGTTCTGCAAGTACATGTATAAGTAATTTCATTATAATGAATTAACAACTAAGTGTTTGTAAATCAGATGGCTTAGAAATCAGAAATAGAGTGAACTACTTCTGATCAGTTATCAAAGTTGGAGGTTGTGACCTCTGCTCTATAATCTAGAAATTACAAGCGTCTGTCTTTGTCTTTGTCGTGAGTGTTAATGGTAATGTCAACTTTTTTATGTGGTCATGATAACAATGACTATAGTCTGACTATCATCTGTCACTGGTTGTATCAACTTTTTCGAATGACCATGATGGAGTTTACAGAGATCTGTTCTTGTTTTTGTCGTCAATGTCAATTTTGGGATGGTCCTTGATCCTTTCAAACACCAAAGTCAAGGCAAGACTTAATAGAGTATCACTAGATTAATTTTTTCCCCATCTCTCTTCTTCATCATTGCATCCACTATTTCCTTGATTTTTGTAACCACAGTTTTTTGGAAAATCAGGAGTGATGGTTGAATAAAATGGGATGCTATTTGAGGGTGGAACAAGTCTTGTAGCTCCCTCCCTCACAACAAGACTCCGTTAGGTCTCTTATGTGGTGTCTTGGAAAGGATTTGTTAGTTTTCGTCCATTAGGTTTGAAATTAAACGAAGAAATGATTGGTGCAGTCAAATGCAGTAAAATGTAAAATTGTTGCATGAAAATTTATGACTTCAAAAAGTTGTTAGTAATGTCAGTCAAACTGTTTATTTACTGTGTTCGTTATTTTATTTTATTTCTAGGCTTGCTGGTCTCTCCGATGATGCGGGGGAGAGAAGACAGTCGCAGCCGAACATTAAATATTCTCCACCACAACAACACCCTTCACATCTCGTGGCGGTTTCACCAGACTACGAGAACCAAACAAGAAAATCAGATCCTTATGGTAAGAATTCTGTCTTTCCTCTGCATACATTTATAATTCAACACTAAGGGACATACCATTACAAACTCAGGGAGTGGCAGAATTGGAAAAGAATTTGCACAGGAAAAAAGCCATTGGAAAAAAAAATTGAAGAAAAATAATTTTCATATTTCCCACAGTGGTTAAACAAAAACAAAAAACTAAATGAAGGGAAAATATGAAAATATTTTGAAAGTTTTTCTGCAAACCAGATTCAACCTGCATGTATGATTATAATCAGATATAGGTGTATGCTGCCCAAACTTCATCTGACAAACTACTGTAAAATATTTATTTTAGCTGAAATTAATTTTCGCTGAAAAGACTTTTTGAGTGTTTTGTATGGAATTTATTTTCACAGATTTTTGATGAGTTAAATGTGAAATAAGGAAAAAAAAATAAATTTGCTGGATTTTGTTTTCACTAAATCATTCCTGCAGCTGAAATAGAGAAAATAAATTCTGAGCAAAAATAAAATATTTTACAGTATCTCATTTGTGTTCAAGCAGCTTTGTCTACAAATTACAATGAGCCTTTCTTGAAAGCAGTCTGTAACACATTTGTTTTTAATAACGTAAGACTCGAACGTGACTAGTATGCAATGCGGAATTACAATTGATTTGAGCTTCTGCTGACGTCAGATTTAAATCAGATTAACTTACCTGTTCCCTTAATTGTTTTTTATGGTCATATGTTATAGAGCCAAGGTAAGGTTTATACCAGATTAGCTAGTATATCCGGTGTAGGAAATAGTGTGGGACAGAGGTATATGCTATAATTGATAATACCCCTTCTTGTAATTTGAAAAAGCTGGAAAGATTTTTTTTATATTAAACATGTGTTCCTTTTGCAGCTAGTGTACAAAAATGTTTGAACTACTGTGGAATACTATATTTTCGCTGGAATTAATTTTCGCTGAAAAGGCTTTTTGGGCATCTTTTATGAAATTTATTTTCACTGATTTTTGATGAGTTAAATGTAAAATAAAAGAAAAAAAAGTATATTCACTGGATTTTATTTTCACGGAATCATCCCTTCAGCGAAAATAGCGAAAATAAATTCCAAGCGAAAATAAAGTATTCTACAGTATACAAATGGGAATACATATACACTTACATTGATAGTACGTACTATTAGTTTTCGTTCGAACAAAGTTTAAAACAGGGATTGATAATAGTGGATAAGTATGATGTATTCGAACAAAAATACCACCTAACACAGAAACCCACAAACGTTATATTGTCATTATCGATGAATTGTTATTATCCTCGGGGGAGTCACATCCGGGCATTTTCATCGCCTGGCAACCTTCGCGGTGAAAACAAAGGCCAAAAACTCGCAGAAAATGATACTTGGATGGTTGTTGAGACTCCCCTGAACAGTGTAACAAGATTAGCCTTGTGTGTAACGTATATAAATTTGGTTGGTCAGGATAACTTCAAAGTTGAGTTTGTGTTGTTTTCTCGAATTTTCACCGGCTCGACCGGCGTTCCACAGCAGCGCGCACAGAGCCCATAGAAATATATGTACAGTGGTGCGCGTGTCAGCAACGTGGAACGTCTTGTGACGTAGCTCAGCCCCGAGGATTCATATGTTTGTGTTGCTTCAAATAAGTGCAGTGCAGATACTTGCACACACAAAAAATAACAATGTATACACTTTATGGTAAATGATATGACAGTGTGGTTAATCACCATTTTTTTTTTACAGGTCAGTTGATACAGAGGTGTGTAATAGTGCAGAGAGATGAGAAAGGGTATGGTTTGACAGTGAGCGGTGATAATCCAGTATTTGTACAAAGTGTCAAAGAAAGTGAGTATCTAAAAATCAGTGTGCTGTAAAATTCTGTCGTAGCACCACAATTGAGCTCTAATTAGCGTTAGGCCTTAAAAAAGAAAAAATATGTTTCTGGTCAATGTGAACACCCCCAACAAAAAAAGTATGGGCTGGTCTTTTCCTCAGTCTATTTTACCACTGCACAGTGCCCTCTAGTGACAGATTGATGAAATTTTGTGGGCCTTCAACTAATTTAGCACTCAAAAAAAGAAACGCCTCACTGCCCCATCTTTGAAAAAAGAATTGACGAGAAACATTTTTTTTGCAATTTGTTTCTAATGAAGGATGGTGAGTTTATTGCAATCATTGTAAGCAATCAGTATTAAGTGTCTTTCACCATCTTCTCAAAAGCTATTAGTGGGTATTACCTTGTTGAAATCAATTCTAAAGATATCGATAATCATGGCTTGATTTTAAGTAATTTCTCAAGTCTGGACTACTGTAAAATAATTTATCTTAGTTGGAATTAAATTTCACTAAAAGACATTTTGGATGTTTTGTATGTAATTTATTTTACCTGATTTTTTGAAAAGTTGAATGTAAATTATAGGAAAAAGGGTATATTCGCTTGATTTTATTTTCACTGAACCATTCCTTCAACGAAAAATAGTGAAAATCAATTCCAAACGAAAATACAGTATTTAATAAGCATTTCTAGTGATCGTCACTGATTTTCCAAATTCTTGTTAAATACTACCTTTGAAGCAAGGTGAAATGTACATTGTGTTCCTGAACAATATGACTAAAATTGTGGTGTTGAACTCGTGTTCTATCAGAAGAAAATGACTGTGAAAATAAAAGAAAATGACTAAAAATGAGAGAACCCGTCATAGTACTGAATAATTAATGCTTCCACTAAAGGTCAATTCGACTGTCACTTTGAATTATTCACTTTCCAGAGTCTTGTTTGCCTTTATACAATTATGTAATTTAACTATCTAATTGCTGATGATCCTCTAGTACATAATGGTAACTGACAGGTTATTTAAAGATACCTGTTCTCCAGTGGTGGCTAATTACATACCAATGTTGTACTTTTAATCCTTGGGGTACCGAAATCAACTTTTGTCAACGTTCACAAATACAATATAAAGTTTTCGTAATTTACTGTAGAATACTTTATTTCCACTTGGAATTTATTTTCGCTGAAGGGATGCTTTCAGAATTTATTTTCGCTGAAGGGATGCTTTCCAAGCGGGAATATAGTATTCTACAGTAAATTACGAAAACTTTATATTGTATTTGTGAACGTTGACAAAAGTTGATTTCGGTACCCCAAGGATTAAAAGTACAACATTGGTATGTAATTAGCCACCACTGGAGAACAGGTATCTTTAAATAACCTGTCAGTTACCATTATGTACTAGAGGATCATCAGCAATTAGATAGTTAAATTACATAATTGTATAAAGGCAAACAAGACTCTGGAAAGTGAATAATTCAAAGTGACAGTCGAGTTGACCTTTAGTGGAAGCATTAATTATTCAGTACTATGACGGGTTCTCTCATTTTTAGCCATTTTATTTTATTTTAACAGTCATTTTCTTCTGATAGAACATGAGTTCAACACCACACTGATTTTAGTCATAATGTTCAGGAACACAATGTACATTTCACCTTGCTTTAGAGGTAGTATTTAACAAGAATTTGGAAAATCAGTGACGATCACTAGAAAAACTGTATTTTCGTTTGGAATTGATTTTCGCTATTTTTCGCTGAAGGGATGCTTCAATGAAAATAAAATTCAGCGAATATGCTTTTTTTCTATGTCTCACATTCAACTCATCAGAAATCAGTGCAAATAAATTGTATACAAAACACCCAAAGAGCATTTTCAGCAAAAATTAAATCCAGCTAAAATAAAGTATTTCACAGTATAGAGAAATTATGTCCATTTGGTTCAAGATTATCAAAAAAATTTAGAAAAATACATAAAAAATGTACCAAAATTTTGTCATGAAAAATTATGGGGCTCTATGTTAAACAGTCACCTACTATTAAAGTCAAAGGACACAGTCAAACACTGCGAAAACTGTACTGACCCAAAAAAATTACTATAGTCCCTCTTAGTCAAATAATCCTGGTCAGAAAAAAAGAAATAGAAATTCAGTTTTTCCCCCTTCTTTAAAATCGTTTCTAATGTGTAACGTGCAGCTAAAAATCTGACTAGTTATAGCGCCCCCTAGAAGCATGGAATAAAAAACTGTTGTTTTTATGTTGTGAGTCATGATTTGTGCTTTTGGAAATGAAGAAAGTTGTAGAAGCTTGTTAGACTTTTATTCAGTGTTTCAACTGCCAGCTCATTTCAAATATCTGCTTCTGCCCTTTTAGCTTTTTTTGAACATATTAAACAAATAGAAGACAATCAACAACATCTAATTTTTTTTTGCAAACATTTTGAAAATCGTTTAGGTATTTTCTTTCAATTTCTTGTTAATTTTGGACAAAATGAACAAAAGGTGATTTTAGTTATAATATATTTCTGTTGTGCATTCTGGATAGCTTTGTATCAGTTATTTGAATATGAATGAATTCATCATTTTCAAAATGGCCTACTGGCATAAAATAATCCCCTACTGACACTCAATATTGCTTTCCTGTAGATGGAGCAGCTTACAAAGCAGGTGTACAGCAGGGTGACAGAATAATTAAGGTATGTCAGATGTATACTTTTACCACCCCCACGCTCACCCACCAAGAAAAACCAAACAACTTTGGTGCTCCTATCTGACAATTTTTCCGCAGTGTGACAGAATAATTAATGTATGTCAGATACCCCCCCCCCCCTCAAAAAAAATTGTTTTGTCTTGTTTTCATCCCTGTTCAGTGACTTCAAAATGTGTTTTTTACCTTTTGAATCTCGGAGATCTCTACAAAAACTTCCTAATTAGGGTGGTCAGAATATCTCGTTAGTCATGCTACTGTATTCATATGTTAAGGGTTTGCTTTACCAGAACCAAAAAAGCATTCACTCTCGACTCATTTTTTAGTTCATATGCACTATTATGTTGCTGTTACATTTGTTTACCAGTGTCTAGGTGTTATTAATTAATTGCTGAAATGTCTGAAAACACAGATTGTATGTCTACCTTTTATTCAAGTTTATTGAAAATTATTAGTCCCTGTTCGGACGTAGTCCGAAAACGGGGACTTATGTTAAGGGTTTTGCTTTACCAGAACCAAACAAGCATTCACTCTCCACTCATTTTTTAGTTCATATGCACTATTATGTTGCTGTTACATTTGTTTACCAGTGTCTAGGTGTTAATTGCTGAAATGTCTGAAAACACAGATTGTATGTCTACCTTTTATTCAAGTTTATTGAAAATTATTACTGGTAGTCCCTGTTCGAACGCAGTCCGAAAACGGGGACTTATGTTTTGACCTCTGTGTGTCTGTCCTTTCGTCTGTGTGTGCGTCTAGACCTGTATATTAGAAATGCCTGGACCAATCACAATCAACTTCACACATACATCATACATGATATTATACATATGCACACCAATTTGTTTCAAGATGGCCGAATGGCGGCCATTTTTGTGCTAAAAATCATCAAAATCAAGCATTTTTCGATTGTTTACAGATGGATTTTGTTCAAACCTTGTATATACGTTACACATTATAGGACCTTGAT